ACACCTGGAGAACTGGTTTTGAGGAAAGTTATAGATCACAAAAAGGTGTCTGGCGAAGGAAAATTAGGATCTAACTGGGAGGGTCCATATAAGGTTACAATCGTCACTGGAAACGGAGCATACTACTTGGAGGATATTAGGGGCAAGGCCATACCTCAGCCTTGGAATGTAGCAAACCTTAAAAAATACTATCAATAGACTCAACCTCACATTTATCTCTCAAGTGTAAAAGCATCTATCTTTCGCTTAATGAGAATGCCTCCCCATTTATTTGAACTTTTATTTCCAAGTACTTGTACACGCTTTGTGGTCAGGACAGATTATTACTTAACTTGGACTTTATAACTTAAGCCCAAGGGGCATATTTCAAAATAAATGGAACTAGCTTGGTGTTTACCAAACGGAGTTAGTTTTGGTGTTTACCAAACGGAATTAGCTTTGGTGTTTACCAAACGGATTTAGCTTTGGTTTTAACCACACGGAAAAAGTTTCGAAGGGACCGAACAGAATTTAGTTTTGGTTTGCACTCAAACATACCAAGTGGAATTGCTTGGTGGAGTTATGTTTGGCCACCAAAACGGACCTTAGCCAAGTGGAACTGCTTGGTGGAAATCGCCCTAACAAATTTTTTAACTCTTTTTCTTGGCAATCACAGAATTTCTTAAGTATCATCACATCAACACCCCAGTACTGCTGCACCCCAAATAAAGTTAGGACAGACTTGGGTAAATCCTTCAACAATCACACTTTCAACAGTAGTCTTATTCAGCTCCAAGCAGGGGCAAATAATTGTTTTCTTGGTACCAACCTGGACTTGAGTATGACATCTTTCGCCTTCATCTATTTGTCCCAATCAATGGCAATTATACTATCAACATCAACACCAACACCAACTTAAGTAGTTCTCCCAGAGAGCGGGTTTTTCAGTACCAATCTTACTTAGCTTCAGGTGGGAGAAAACAATTGTTTTTTCTTAAAGCCAACCTGGACCTAAGTTACTCCCATTCAAATTACAACAATCAATGCAACCATGAAGACCGAGCATCTATTCGGCCCCATGGACCCAATAGTGCTCGGCCGGGGGCAAACAGTATGAACAAATGCAAGTATGAAAACAAAACATATCAAATTGCAATATCATAAGTGAAATTCTATCAAAGGCATAACTGGCCCCACGAAACAGTAGCAACAAGAAAGAGAAATTTTCTTGACCAACTTAAGGGGGTAACTCCTCAAAAAGACTGAGCCCTAGTACAGTAAAAAAATAAAAACAAAAGAGAGCAAAAGAGAGAGAGAGAGAGAAAAAGAAAAAACTTCAAATCATTCCAAAGGTGACTTCAACTTTCATCAACATGAGGAACTTTAAGAGTAGTATCCACAATCTTATCTAGGCCATATTAGGGAGGAAAAATAGAGGTAGCTCCAATTTCTTGAGAAGTAGAAGCCTCCTTAATCACATCTCCTACAGCTTCAACTTCCAGGGTTCCACCCCCTTCAACGTTCACTGTCTCATTGGCAGTATCGCTCTCTAGAGTCTTGGCTACAGAATCAGTTCATGGGGAAGTCTTAGCTGGAAGAATAATAGGGGTAGCAGCAGTCTTTGAACCCAAGGACCTTGACGGAACAGGAATATCTTGAAACACGAGAGACCTTTTAGGAATCTGAGCAGCGGCCAGAGCACTTGTCCAACCCTTCAGAAAAAGCTTGTCCCGCAACACCAGCACGTTTTCTTTGTAAGCAGCCCCGGCTTCATCCCAACCTTACTGCTAATACTTAGCCTCCAAAGCAGAACGTTCAACGGCCATCACCGCAATAACCGCCTCCAGCTCTGCCACCTTCCCTTCAAGTTGGGCCTGTACCCCAATGGCAATTTCCTTGGACTTCTCAGCCGAGGTAATAACCTTGCTCAAACGGAACACCTCCCTCTCAGCAGTCCTACGTCCCTCTTTCTCAGCTTCCAAATTCACTATTAGTCTTTCAGCATTCATAGAAGCCTCCAGTACGACCTTCTCCAGTTCCTCAACTTTGGTGATCGACAGGTGCATCCTCTAAATACACCACAGCAGATTACAAGATATTAAAAGAAAAGCAAATAGTAGAATAACACCAAGAGAATCCTAAAAACACTTACAGCAGTCATCATTTGAAGGGTCCCCTTCAGAATCGGAATATTAAGGGGCCCATTGTGATCTGCCATATCTACTGGCATTAACAAGGTCTTGTCAGGTCAAAAGCAAAGTCTACAAAAGCAATAACTAAATCAGAAGTAGAAATGGGTCTGCCCTGATGTAACATTGGTGGCTCCCACTTTTCAAAAGAATCACCCTCAACAGGATCTTCAAAAGCCTCTCTAATTACCGCCTTGTCGGTCTCCCTCCTCCTTTTCTTCACCCTTGCAGCAAACAAAGCAGAGGGTTTGGCAGCAACAGTATAACGGCCAGAGGCTCCTATCTCCAACTTCACATCCATAAGGCTCTTCGGTTCGGCCTTCACCAAAAGAGTCCCCAAAATGTTATAAGAGCCAAAAGCCTCCACTTCTAAGTCCACCAGCACTCTCCTTTTTGATATTGACCCACCCCCTTGAAACTAGGGGCAGGAGAAGGTGTCCTCTAAGACGGCAAGCCTTGGCTTCGGCGGCGGTTTGTGACCAGAGGGGCAAGGGATGTATCAGTTTCAGTGTCATAATCCAGAAAAGACGCAACAAGCCTCTCTTTTTTTGGGATGATGGAACAATAAGTCGTCTGGTAGTCCAGTAGCTTGGGCGCAGACCTTTTCTTATACCTCAAAATAGCCTTGATGGCCTCGGTGTTCTCTCAGTTCGGCCTGTGCTGAAAATGGGAAGCCTCTGTAAAAATGAAGAACAACATTAAAACAACATTCAAAACAAGGCAAAAAACATATAAATACTATGAAGAAGGACTCGGACCTGGGTAGCCATCCTTTTGGGGCATCCGTTCAAATTGGAACTCAGTCCCAATAGGAAACTCCCAATTACCACTGACTTGCAGAAAATCGTCATTATGTTTGTCCGAATCAGGTAAGCTAGTTACAAGATAACAATCGGCCGAGCGAACACGGAGATAATAAGTGATGTGATCCATGTTGTGTGAAAGGGTATAGTAACCCAAAATGTCCCAGATCTCCAAGTTCAAACCCAACAGCCTGTTAAGAGCAAAGATGCCACAGACAACTCAGAACAGATTAACAGACACCTGCATGGGGGTAAGTTGAACTTGGTGCAGGAAAAGGCGCACCAAAGGATCAAGGGGAAATCGGACCCCTCTTTTAACAATGGTTGTGATTGGGAAAGCAACAGTACTTCTGGTGCCGATGCGCTTGGCATCAACCTTCGCCAGCGAAAGTGTCACATCATCGGGGATACCATAATCTCGGCGAAACAAGGCCATTGCTTCAGGGGTATCAACTTACGATTGAAATTTCCTCATTAACCAGACCTAATAGGGCGAAGACAAAACTCAAACTAAGCAAAGAATAGAACCAGACACCGGAAACAATGGCGCAAGGCCCAAAGAGGGCGATCAAGACAGAAAAGTACAAGAAAAGATAAATTTCAGGAGAACTTACAGAGATTAAAACATCAACGACAAGTAGACAGCCCTGAAACGAGAACAAGAATGGCAACAAAACGTCTGGGCAGAGCATCGTCGAGACCAACACAGAGGAACGGAGAGGGTTCTGGCCTCTCTAAAAGTTTGGAGATAGACAAAGGGATTTAAATGGATAACCCCAGAGCATTTATTGCACTTAGCTGGCACAAATGTACATAAATCATGACCATCAGTATGGAATCAGCGCACTATCTCTATACACTAGTACCACGCCGCCACGTGTCACCATGAAAGGACACATGCAGGAGACGTGTGTCAGGATTGAACTGTCACCAAGGCCGAACTGGGACAAATTCGAAGTGACGCGATGCTTGAGTACAGAGCAATAGCTCCCCCCAAGGGGAACCTTAGCGCGAGCTAAGGGGTAAATAAAGGGACTAAATATAAAATGGGGCGGATCCAAGCCTTAGGCCGGCCCAATCCATTAGACTCAAGTCCTGAAGAGCAGGGTAAACAAGGGGCCGGTCAGGTTAGCCCAATTACATGATCAAAAATTCACCCAAGTCCTTAAGTACTTGGGCCCAACTCGTAGTGGAAAAGCCAGTCCAACTACGATGCTAGGCTGGGCCGAGCTGCGGGACCTGATCCATAAACCGAACCAAAAAGGGGCTGAGCCCATACAAATATATCCTACTGGGCCTGTCCATCTCTACAAGCAATCTCATAGAGGGTCGAGCCGAGGCACGATGGTACCGAGCTAAAAGAACCTAACAGAGAAACGTGGAAGCTGTGAATGCATGGACATAGAGGATGCCACCTCAGCTGGTCCCCTCCCCCTAGAATCATGGAAACAGTTAATCAAGGGAATGTGACCTATTACAAGCATGGTTACAATGAGTATATACATCCCTTGTTAACTACCAGATGGTCCCCCACCTTGAGCAATGCTAAAGGAAACTTTGCAGCACTAAAAATTTCATGAAACCATCTTGAGCAACAAGTAAGGAGTTCTATATAAACTACACTTACTTCACACTTAAGGTAATTGATCTAAACTGAACGATACTCACTTAAAACACAACTCTCTACACTTAGAAAGTACCTCTCATCTTCTCCGATCACTCACTCTCACACCGGAGGGGTTATCCGGCCAACCCTGGCCGAGCAGCTCTAATAGTGCTCATTGCTACAGGGTCTCGATTCCTGGATAGTCCAATCAAGTGCAGAGTTCTGATCCACAATCATCTAGTGTGGTGTTCGGTACACACAAAACTGACTCATTGAATTGTAGCGAAATTAAAGCCAAGAAATACGCCATTAATCATGTGGAAGACCTTAAAGAGGACATTTAAATCAACTGCCAGTAAAGAGGTAAAGTGTAGTGATAAAGGACAATGGAAAATGTACAAGCAGGGAACAACATCTTATTACCTGTGCACCTGGAATATGACCTTTTTGCTATTGATGGTGATATCCCGACTTGCTTTTACCACCCTTTCCCGTTTATCATTCTGCAAGATAAATTGATAAATAGATAATAAATCTAAAAACAATAATTTAAATGAATGTCGAGGTGGATGGATGGTGTAATAGCAATAACTTCAACTTTCAGCTCAAAAAATATTGCAAAAAAACATCAATATTACAAATAACCGTATCTGCCTTATGCATTGTCTAACTCAAAGGAGTATTAAAGAAGTGAATCATGCATACAAGTTCTTTTGTTTGGTCATTTTCACATACATTACTATCACCTATCATCTAGAAGGACTTTTGATGATTGATAATGTCGAATGGCAAGGACTTACCAAAATGTTTGTCCACAAGCCTTACTATATTCAACATACATATATGATGTGCTCGCCCGTTTTATGCATGGCAATACAATGTACATCTAGTACTGCATGTATTGGATTCCCCCTAGACCCACATTAGCAATAGCATGCTTCGGATCGGCAGGATGGTCAGTCTGTCAGTGCAAGTTAAGTGGAAAACCAATCCTCTCGATGAATACAAGACAACACCACTATTAAAGCAAGCTTAAAGTACAAAACCTTTTTAGCAAACCTAATTATCTAAGCACGCATTTGAGCATCATTCAAGGATCAAAGTTCTGTTTTGATTTGTCATGTAGAGGTTAAAGTTCTGATCTGTTGTCTGATTTCTGGGCTGGTTTGTTTTGATGTCCTGAACTCTGTTTTGAGCTGCCAATGGAAGGGTTCAGCTAGTTGGTTCAACGGGTTGTTGTGCTCATTGTGTTCAGCTGGTAGGCAGAGGAGTTTGTTATATTATTTGTGTTTTGTGCTCGTAATTGATTCAACTGGTGGATGAAGGAAATGAGGGCAATGGCAGTCAAGGCATTTCCAATGTGTCGTAGTCTGTTTTCTGGTTTTTTGCTGCTACGTATCATTGGATTGCCATCTGTGGCTACTTTCAATACTTTGGTTGTGTACGCTGTTTTGTTATCTAGGTTTTGTGCTTGGAAGTGTAGTTGTTTTGCTTCAAGTGTATGTTGGTTGCTGTTTTGTTGTTTTTCTCCTTTCTTCTTCTCTTGTTCTCTTTTTGTTGGTTCCTCACCAACTGGCGCTTGGAGCTTCGATTTAGCTCCAAGCTCCTCTTTATTGATGTATTTTACCATACCTTGTATGTTTTCATCAATAAAAAAAAATTTTGCCGATCAAAAAAAAAATGTAGAGGTCAACTTGGAAACATAAACATTCCAAAAACATGAGAGAAATCCCAAATATTTTTGGAAACACACAAAAGTGTAAAACTAAAACCTATTTAGATGTATATAAAGAAAACATGTCTCGCGGTTTACTCACACATTCACATGTAGAACACAAATGTGCAATACGGTAGAAAACGTCAATATGAACCAAGAAGAATTAAATTAAAGTCAAGGAAATCAATATTATCAAATGAAAGTATGTATGATTTTGAATGTGCATAAGGTTTGATCAAATGAGGTATATAAATATATCAATAATGACAACAATGAACCTTGGATTGTTATTTCCCTATTTTCCGGGTACAGCAGAGGGTAGGAAAGAGAAAGATTTCTCTTGGAAAATGTGAAGGCATTGCAAAGAATTATTTTTGGTACACAGTACCAAAGTTTTTAAAGGTGAATGCGTATCTCGAGACATTTTGTCCCTCATGAAATGAGCTGTAAGCTCCAAGGCATGGAGACGTAAGCATTTAAAATTTTAAATATTAATACTTAGTGAATAAATTAAATATTTTAAAATAGTAAAAAAACTAAAACTAAAATTAAATATAAAGGTGTAAATACTTTTCTCCTTGAGGCATCGAATATTTTACTACATAAAAGGAAGTTTGCCTTTTTAGTGAAAGTGAAATTGATATTTTTAACTTTAGTGATTGAGCTTGTCAACCATTTACTGTGTTTTTCTTGATTTGATCATTTACTTAACTTTTCTTGTAGAATATAGTTGCAAAAATGGATTCTTTTTATTTTTTTCTTTTTTATGTTTAAGCAAGTTTAACAAAAGCCCAATCCAACCTCTGCTGCATATGCATACTCTCATATGCTTATGCACAAAAAGTGTACAAAGCACAACTAAGGTACATGTCTCAAACTGTGGTGTGCAAGCTTTTGGGGAGTAATGTCTAAAAATCAAAGTGAAGATAGGAAAACTGTTGGGTTTGCAATGTCAAGGTAAAGAGGATGAGCTAGTCAACAAGATAGTGGAACTTGAAGAAAATGATTTACAAAGAATTGCAGGTGAAGAAGGGGCAGTTAGACCTTAACAGTATGTTAAGTAGAGGACTAAGGAGAAAATAGAAGATTATTATGCAGATTTTATCTTGGAATGTTAGAGGGCTGAGAAGGTCACAAAAGAGGGGCAAAATAAAGAATTTGGTGAAGGATAGAAGAGTGGATGTCTTACTTTTACAAGAAACCAAAAGGAATTCAATGGAGGAGCATTTTGTGAGATCCATGTGGCCTTTTGAAGAGATGGGTTATATAATGGTGGATTCAGAAGGAAGTGCAGGAGGGTTTCTATGTATTTGGAGGCCACAAGTGTTTGAGCTAAAAGACTGTTGCAGTAATAAGCACTTCATTCTACTCTTAGGTACCTTGGCTCAACATTTTGATTATGTGATTGTTAATATATATGCTCCAAATGAGGTGTTGGGGAGGAGGAAGTTATGGGATTCCCTTGTGTGCTTACAACCCCATTTTCCAAATCCATGGTGTGTGGGTGGTGATTTTAATGAAATTAGATTATTGAGTGAGAGGAAAGGGTGTTCAAGAAGAGAAAGGGGGATGAAGGAGTTCAATTAGTTTGTGGAACGGTTAGAGCTGTCTAATTTGCCTATGTTAGGCAGAAAATTCACTTGGTGTAATGCATTGGAAGGGGATAGGTAGAGTAGGATAGATCGTTTTTTATTAGACTCGCTTTGGCTGGAAAATTTTTCATTTAATCAATGGGGATTACCTAGAACAATTTCAGACCATTCTCCAATTTTGTTGAAGGAAGATGATAGGGATTGGGGTCCTAAGCCATTCAAATTTATTAATGCTTGGACATCATATCCTACATTCTTAACTGAAATCAAGTACATTTGGGAGGTCACACAGGTTTCAGGATGGGCAAGGTACAGATTAATGAGGAAGTTATCCTCCTTACGGGGTCACTTAAGGGTGTGGAATAAGGAGGTGTTTGGCAATATTGATACTATGTTGAGGTCAGCAGAACAAGAACTACATGAATGGGATTTGAAGCCAGAAATTAGATCTCTGGATGTGCTGGAAACAACAAGCAGGAGAGAGCTTAGAAGTCAGGTATGGAAGCTTAGTAGGGATAAGGAAAGAATATGGCATCAAAAGTCTAGATTGTTGTGGGCTAGGTCTGGTGACAGAAATACTAGATTTTTCCATCTTATGGCAAGTAGTAGGCAGAGAGTGAACTTGATAGATTCTGTGACAGTGGAGGAAGTGAGACATGAGGATCCAACTCAGGTGAAACAAGCAGTGCTTAGTCATTTTAGAAACCATTTTGCTAAAAGTTGGACTTCTGGGCCACAAATTTCTGGACCTTTTGTTACAATTTCTCCGAAGGCGGCAGTGGGTTTAGAAGCAATGTTTATTGAAAAAGAGATCTGGGCAGCTACTCAGGCTCCTGGCCCAGATGGTTTTAACTTAGCTTGCATTAAAAAATGTTGGGGAATAATGAAAGGTGATATATTGCAGATGATGTATGAGTTTCACACAAATGGGAAGCTAGCAAGGGGTGTTAATAGTTCTTTCATGGTGCTCATACCCAAGAAGGACAATCTCATAGGCTTGGGGGACTATAGACCCATCAGCTTGGTTACCTCAGTGTACAAGATTTTGGCCAAGGTGCTATCTAGAAGATTAAAGAAGGCCCTTCCCTCTATGATAGATGAAGTGCAGTCAGCTTTTGTCAGTGGTAGATATATCTTAGATGGGGTGTTAACAGCAAATGAAGTTGTGGATTAGTGGAAAAAGTCTAAGAAGAAAGGCATTATCTTAAAATTGGATTTTGAGAGAGCCTATGATTCAATAAACTGGGAATTCTTGCTGGCAATGATGAGAAATTTTGGATTTGGTGTCAAATGGATTAGGTGGATAAAAGCTTGTATCTCTACAACTATGGTGTCAGTTCTTGTCAATGGTGCACCTATAGAGGAGTTCCAGCCACAAAAGGGGTTAAGGCAAAAGGATCCCCTTTCTCCATTCTTGTTCATTATTGATGCAGAAGGGCTTAATTTGCTACTTGCTAGGGCTAAAGTACTGGGTTTATGTAGGGGTGCTACTGTTGGTTCCAATGATGTGAGTGTTTCACATCTCTAATTTGCTGATGATACTATCATATTTTGTGAAGGGGATATTGAGGATATTTCGAATATTAAGAGGGTGTTGAGATGTTTTGAAGTGATGTCTGGGTTAAGAATTAATTATCATAAAAGTGTAGTGTGTGGTGTAGGCTTCCAAGAAGATCAATCTAAGGAGTTTGCTAGGGTTTTGAATTGCTTAACTACGAAATTACCCTTTTCTTTCCTTGGTCTCCCTTTAGGGGCTAATCCTAGGAAACAGAGTACTTAGGACCCAGTTGTGCAGAAGGTGAAGAAAAAGCCGGCCTCTTGGAAGAGGAAGCTTTTTTCCTATGCTGGAAGATTGACCTTGATCAAGTCAGTACTTGCCAATTTGCCAATCTATTTTCTTTCTCTCTTTAGAATGCCTAAGGGTGTTGTTAAAGTCTTAGTCAAGTTGCAGTCATCTTTTTTGTGGGGAGGGAATGTTAATAAAAGGAAAGTGCACTTGGTCAAATGGAAGGACATCACAATAAGTAAAAGTCAAGGAGGTTTGGGTGTGAGAGACGTAGGAGAGGTGAATGAATGCTTGCTATTGAAGTAGTGGTAGAGGTATGGTAATGAAGATTCAGCTTTGTGGAAAACTGTGGTTTGTTCAAGGTATGGTAGGAATGGAGGAGGTTGGCTTCCAGATCTGAACTTTTCAGGTGGGATGTCCATAGCCTGGTTGGACATTGTGAAATTGCTCTCAGAAAATCAGCAATTGGGGGATTTCTATGGTGAGCATTTTAGAATTAAGGTTGGAAATGGAAGGAGAATCTTGTTTTGGCAGGATAAATGGCTTAACAATAGTGACCTGAAGATTC